CCCCCCCGCCAATGCTCTGATTCCTCTCCTCCCAGCTGGTGTCTGGCACGGGAAGGCCTCCTCCTCCCTGCCTGCCCGTTGTCCCTAACAGCCATGACTCGACGCTCACCAGGGGCATGGGGGCCCAACTGGCTCACAGGGGCCTCCCTCTGGCCCTGTGACTACCAGGGCGGGCTGTGTCAACAGGGGGATTGTATTTAATTGAGGGAGAAAAATGGAAAGACACCTCTGGGGTGGACACCATGCAAAGCTATGGATTGGAAGGCACTTCTAATTTGGACTGAAAGAATTCACCAGAAGCCAGAGAGCTATCCTAAGTGGAAACTATTAACACATTTAGCCTGATTTGTTTCTCCAGAGTGAATCAGGACCTCTTTTTTTCTTCTTCTTCTTTTAGTGTTTGTTTCCATTTAAATGGGAAAATGTACTGAGAACCAAGACTTTGGAAGTAAATATTGTTTTATTTCACACTGAAAGAGGGTGCTGCCAGAAGGCTGGGGGCGGGGGGACACACAACGAATGCGTTTCTCCTCTTAAGTGTTAGGAAATTCTGCATGAAGGAAAAGGTGCGGGGCTGGGGCAATCTGTGCTGAGCCCCAGGACCTCCCGCGTGCAAAGCCAGCCTGCTGCACTTGAAGTAAACAGACACACACGCCCCTGGCCATGTGCGCTAATTGGCGGTCACTGCGGTCAGAGCCAAGGCTGAGATAAGGAAGTAGTCACAACAGCAATTCCCATGGGCTGAAATTCCTGTCCCTCTGAACAACGCTAACACCACGACGGCCCCGTACTGACAAGGGCCGAGAGCAGGGCCACGGACGAGGGCACCCTGCCTTTGGTGAGCAGGGACTGCGGCCTCCTGTTTCCAGGACAGCCGAGTTCTTGGACACCGGGGGCGGGGAGGAGGGGGTCCAAGGTGACCCGGAGGGCTCTGGCCCACAGATGTGGGGAGGAAGACAGGCAGAAACCAAGACAAGGCCGCTGGGCTTGAAGTAAGGGTAAACTGTGTGCTTCCTCTGTCGCAGGGGCGGCTTCGAGGACGGTGGTGGTATCTGCACATGGCGGGAAAAGGCTTTGCAGGCAGAGGGCAGACAGTGAGCAAAGAGCAGGCATGTGCCCCAGGCCCTGCCAAGGCTGCCGGCCACCTCCCAACCACCACGCCCGCTGCGCAGAGTTCTGTCTTCCCCCTTCCAGAAGGCTCTACGCCATCTCCCACTGCTGAGCCAGCCTCAGCTTTCCTCACTGAGACACCCTCTCCCGGCTTCCACAACCCTCCCCTGGGCTCTGTTCTGAGCCCTCTTGAAGATTTCCCGTCCTCGACCTCTGCACTGGACCCCTCTCTGCGTCGACACTCTGCTCCCGGGCTGAGCCAGAGGCACCGAGCTGCAGGCCATAGGGCCATCTGCTCCTGGGGGGCCCCCTGGGGGCATCTGTCCAATGTGCCAAAGTCACAGGAGGGAGGGAGTGCTAGGCAGGAGTGGCAGGCGAGGTTCATGGTCAGGTCTGAAGAGCCCTGGTCACCAGCTGAGGGGCTGAGACTTCGTTTTACAAAGGAAAACACGGATGGTTTTCAAAGAAGGGCCTGCGTCACTGGGTCCGTGGCACCCCGCCAATGGAAACTTGCCTAACGTGAGAGGTTAAAACTGAGTGTTACACTTATCTCACTGCCCCTTTAAATATTTATGTTTATTTGTCCATATCACCTTTTCTAATTACAAAATCTATTCAAAAATAATCCTCTTTCCTTTTTTTCCCCCAGTTTTCAGCTCCAGGGTTTTGTGCAACAGAATCACCATTCAATCCATCCACCGCTGATTATGAGAGCACAGTAAACCTCAGGGCTTAATTCACCAGAAAGAGTGATGGAGACAAAGGTAAGTGCGCCTTTTGCAGAAATCCTGCAAGGAGTATCCTTCTTGGTGGGCACAGGCATAACAGGGGCTGCATGCCGCTGCTCAGTCACCTTACTGAGCCCCCAAAACAGAACAACGGCCAGGGTCCCCAAAGCCTGGCCGTCACCTCTGCGGAGCAGTGTTTACATTTCCGCGAGCTTTCATGAGCGAGTGGCCCTGCCAGCCCTCCAGCTGATACGGGGAAGAGAATGTTGCAGAAGGAGGACTGATGGGGGGGTAGGGGAGTGGGCATGCTCTACAGAAGGGGTTTGTGAGGCTCTGCAGAGGGAGCCCCTCCCCACCCTCACACACTCCATGTGCCAGGTTCCTGCAAACCGTGGACCTTCCCCATCCCGGGGAGCCCAGCGTCCCCCCAGCCCCTCGCCGTTTACTGAACTCCGTGCTGGCCATGTCTGCACGGCGTCTCAGGCTGGGCATTTCTGAATGAAACCTTCAGTGGGCCAGTGACTCATCCAGGGTCAAACAGCAGGAAAGGAGCAAGGGCTGGACCTTGGTCTGGGTGACCCCTCATCCAGACCTTCCTCGGCTGGGGTGGTAGGACAGCGAGAGATGGGATTACACGTCACAGATCAACTGGGTTAAATCATTACTTCACTTCAATCCAATCACTTTTACAGTCCCTGTAGAGCTCGCAACCATTTCCTCCATTCAAAGTGATCTCTCTGGTAGCTTCAACTAGTAGCTCAGGCTTAAAATTGTTCCCCACAGTAGAAATAATACAGCTTCATAATGTCATTATCCCCTGAGACGGGAACTCCACTTTCCCCAAATGCTGTATCTAACATATCTTCCAGCTAAATTATTAGCAGCAAAGATAGCTTAATAGAAAACCTTAACCCAGGGGACTGTACAAATTATTCACTAAATCAGGCTCTGAGTTCTGCAGCTCTGCCCACCTCAAGCGTTCTTCTAGAACCTAGACCAGATGGCTGTCAGACCCAGGCACTCTGCTGGGCTCCATTCCCGCTGAGGAGTGGCTGCCTGCTGAGGCAAACGCTAACGGCGACTGGGTTGCATGGCATTCAAGGGGACGTTTCAGTTCAGAGCCAGGCCAGGGCCCCTGCCTTGTGCGGGTCCTGCTGCGCCC